TTCTCTGATAAGGATTTAAAGGCAATTTTTATTGCCTACACTAACAAACGAGATTGGGATGACAAACTGGGCGAAGCTCTTTGGGCCTACTGTACCACAGTCAGAACGCCTACGGGCGCAACCCCCTATTCTTTGGTATATGGATGTGAAGCGTTCTCCCATTAGAGATTCAAATTCCATCCTTACGAATCGCCCTTGTAACGGGGATGACAAATAATGAACAACATCAGAAACGTCTTGAAGAACTCGAGATGTTAGATAAAAAGCGCGTAAAAGCCCAACAACAAATTCAATTCTACCAAGCTAGAATCTCTAGGGCTTTCGATAAGAAAGTCTGACTGAGGAGCTTTAAAGAAGGAAACTTGGTTCTTGCTGTATGGCGATCGATGATTCTCAATTCCAAAAAGAAAGAAAAATTCCAACCCAAATGGGAAAGACCATCTGTGGTGGAAACAGTTTATTCAAACGGCATATATCGCTTGGTGAACCAAGACGATAACAAACTTATGATACCGATAAATGGTAAATTTCTGAAGAAACACTATCCCTAGTATGTTCATGATAACTTATTCAATGAGATGTTTCTGGAGAATACTATCTATGATATTCTTAAGGATAACTCGAAATTAAGATGATCATCATACTCCTACTTTAATTCACGGGAAGTTCCTGGAGAACACTACACGGTATTCTTAAGGATAACCTAAAATCAATTCTTAATAAAAAAAAAATTAAGAACCTCCTACTGTGGCTATTTAATCATTTCTAGAATAATCAAAACACTCCCACTATGACTTTGAGCTTCGTCAGAAACAAGGGTGAAACGAATCACGTCTACTTCAACCCCTATTGGAACAATCGATGGGATCAATGTCACCAACTCCCGCTGTGATTTTCCGAGCATTTTTCGTTGAGACGAGATTTGATGACTTCATCAAGTCAATCTTTCCTCACGAAACCCCTACTCTATAATTGTGGAGTGCTTGATGATTCACAGTCCTCCACCATAAAATCCCTCACTGATTAAATCCGTTGACAATGGGTCCACCAAATTCTTCGTGATTGAATCCAATCCACATCCCTCTGTGCTTGCGTACTTAACACTCCCAATGTTTAAGTCCTAACACATCATTTAAGATTTTAATCCGATGATTTGTAGTGATCATCGAACCCCCTTCGTATCAAGATCTCTTCATTTGACACCAAAAACCCCCCATTGAGTGATCTGTGCAAGTCAACATTCCCACTATTATTTGTACCTTCACTCCCACTGTTTCTTGATCAAACCTTCCTATAGTTAGGATCAGAGCCAAATTCCCCTCTCGACTCCTTCAATGACCAAGAGGTCCACTTTTCAAAATAGTTTTCCCTTTCGATGAACGAAAGGATCTCCTCCAAATTGAACGATCAAACATATAAAAGTTAGGGTCGTCCCAATTGTTTGCGGAGAAAATTGTTTTATTCATTGCGGTGTTCATTACAAACTTCAGACGTTTATAACGAAAATAAAAATTAGTCTTTTTATAAGACCTTTACACAATGAAAACAAAAACAAAAGTACAATTCTCTTCAAACAGCGTAGAGATCGTTTATCGGTCTTCTGCTTGCGTGGGATCTTGGCCTGTGACGGGGACGTTGATATCCGTGGACCACCGTCGATCAGATCTGATAGCTGAAAAATTGGGCAGAGCTTCGTCGATTCGCGAAGGAATCAAGAAGCCGTAGCGCTTATCTCGACAACAGTGAGATAATTGCACTTCTTAAGATCACCACAACGGGGTAATCTTAAAGGACGAACACGAGAACTGCAGATCTGACGAGCTCTTCTTCTTTATGCCGACGAACTCGATCCGATCTCTCCTCCTCCTCTATGAAATTCGTGCACCTTTAATCTTCAGTCCGGCAGGGCTTCGCCAACGCTCGAGAATTTCAGATCCGAAAAAATAAAGGTCCCGGGGCTGTATTTATAGGCTCTGGGAAACCCAGGCGGTTAAAACTGCATAATCAGCAAAAAACTATTTTTTGGGGCCGCAGGACACCCTCGGGTGTCTCAACGGAGACACCTTTGTGTGTCTCGGCCTTGACCGAGACACCTTGGGGTGTCTCGGTTGGGCCGAGACACTTCGGGGTGTCTTAGCTTAGGCTGAGATAGTCCGTTTTATGCGCTTGTCCATTTTCATCGTAACTTCTTCATCCGAACTCGGATTTGAGTAATTCAAAGTGCATTGGAAAGCCAGCGAGGAGATCTACAAGCTCCGATGATTGAATCATCTTTGGAATAAATGATACACGATGGGTGTTCCGCCTTTCATAAATGACGCGGGGCTCCCGATCAGTTCGTGTCCTCATTATTCTAAAACTCCGTTGCTTCACATAATCCGTCGATTCACTTCAAGCATTCGTCGACATCAATCAAGCTTCTGTGACTTGGATAGTGATGTTTATCATCTTTTCTTAGCTTCGAGCTGTTTGTGGAGACCTATAGGCAATTTTCGACACCTACAGATACCCCCTCCAAAGTGTTTCAGTCTCGTTTCTTTTATAGAAGAGCCTGAAATACTTTGGATGTGATTGGTCTAGCCTTCGATCGGTATAAAGGACCTGTAGTTAGCTTTAATTCTTGACTCCTTCGATTTTCAGTCCATTCGATGTTTTGACGAGTAGCTGAAGTTCTTCCGGCGCTGTGTTTATCGTCTGGCCGTCGTCGAAGTCTCGAATCTAAAACCGATGAGTTGAGTTTGGCTCGTGTCGTTGAGTTGACTTAGAACTGACTACCTCTGTCACATCGTGCTAACTTAGGGTTTCAGATCGCCGTACATTGACTTTTTGTCACATCGTGCTGACTTAGGGAACACTGCCAGCAAAAGCTGCAGGGGTTTTTTTTAAGAAAGCCAACAATTAATTTTAAAAATCTCTCTCTCTCTCTTTAGGAACCCCCCCATGACCCCAAATCCTAGATCCCCAAAGTTTCCAATCTACCCTCCAACCCTTCCTTCTCCCTCTCTCGATCCGCCGCCGAACCCTAACCAATCACGACCGCCACGACACCGCCACCGAACCCCATGACTCTCCCTCTCTCTCAATCTCATTGTCGCCTACGATACCACCACGACATTGTCGGACAACCTCGACGTCACCTATGACATTACCGAACAACCACGATGAATCCGAACAACCACGACCGCCACGACACCGCCGCCGAAACCCGTGACTCTCCCCCCTCTCTCGATCTTGAGCTCTCGATCTCCATCAAGCCCTAAAAATCTAGAATTGGCGCTGAAGGTGTGTTCTTCCTCATCCGAGAGATTGATTTTAATTTTCTGATTTTTGTTTGCGAGCATAAATTTTGGGATTGCCGGATGTTGAAGAATCAAATTTTTTGAGTGCCGGATGTTGAAGGCTGACTAGAATAATTTAACTGAAGTCTAAGAATTTTTTGATTTTCTGATTTTCTAAAGTAAGCAGTTGTTGTTTGGTTCAAATTTGAGAATTTTGATATTATATGCATTTTATATAGGTCAATTAAATTTTTTTGTGAGAAATGGAATACTTAGACACTGAAACTAATGAATTAAACTTGGATGACGATAGTTTGATATATACTCCTCAGGTATCAGATGAGTTGAGGCCAAAAAAGGGATAAGAATTTAACACAATAGATGATGTTGTAACATTCTACAATGCTTATGCTAAAGCAGCTGGGTTTAGTGTAAGGGATTGGACGACTTAGAAAGAGCCAAGAAGTTGTGAAATAAGAAGGAAGGAGTATGTTTGTTTTAAACAAGGAAAATCTCTAAGAATTGCGGATGTTGGAACTAAAAGACGTCGAGGAAGCATAGCTGAAGTTGTACTTCCAAAATTGTAGTTTTAATATCATACTACAGAAAATACATTGTTACTATTTTTAAAGAGGAGAACAACCACCCACTATCAACACCATCAAAGGTTCATCTTTTAAGGTCCCATCGTAATGTTTTAGCCACAACAAAGTCTTTAACTAAACAGTTATCCATGGTGAATATACCTCAGCATCAACAATTTAGTTTTCTTGGAGTACAATCTGGAGGTATAGAAAATATTGGGTGCACTCAAAGAGATTTGTATAATCATGAAAGGGATATACGTGGTGATATGAAGGGGCATGATGGTGAAATGTTTTACGAGTATTTAAAATTGGAATAAGGAAAGAATCCCTCGTTTACTTTTCAAATTAAGGTCGATGAGGAACAAAAGATTACTCGTTGTTTTTGTCCGATGCAAGTTCAAGGCGGGCTTACAATTTTTTCTGTGATGTTGTAATCTTTGATACTTCTTATAACACTAATCGCTATGGCTTGATATTTGCACCAATAATGGGGGTTAACAATCATGGTCAAACAATTGTTTTTGCTTGTAGATTTTTGAATCATGAGAGCGTTGATGATTTTGTATGGTTATTTAATCAATTTTTGGAAAGTATGCCTTGTGGTTCCCCGAAGATGATTATTATCGATCAAGACCCAGCTATGACTATGGCATTCCCCCTTGTTCTTCCAAATACTTTTCACATGTATTATAGTTTGTATATATTATTGAAAATATTTATATACATAGCCATTCTTTTTAACACTTTATTTAATTCTTTTGACATGTATTGTAGTTGGCATATATTAATAAAGTTTTCTGAGAAAATTGATGCCTTTATTTAATTCTTTTGACATGTATTGTAGTTGGCATATATTAATAAAGTTTTCTGAGAAAATTGATGCAGTGAAGTATAGTATTTATAATGGCATATATTAATAAAGTTTTCTGAGAAAATTGATGCAGTGAAGTATAGTATTTATAAAAGTGAGTTCTTGGCTTGCATTTGGAAATCAGAGACTCTTGAAGAATTTGATTTACAATGGGAAAGTCTGATTAAGAAAAGTGGGTTAGAAGGAAATAAGTGGTTGCAAGACCAATATGAACTTCGGTCAAGATGGATTCCTACATATGTTAATCATATTTTCTCAACAGACATGTCAAGTAGTCAACGAGCAGAAAATGGACAAGCATGCTTCAAGAAATTTATTTCGAAGAATAATTCAATGGTAGAATTTATGATATGGTTTGGCAGGGGACTAGTGCGCCAATGTCATGAGGAGTTGATGGCTGATCATAAAGATGTAATTGAGAAACCTAAACTTAGAATAAATCATGACTTTTTGGAGCAAATGGTTGATATTTACACAAATGAGATGTATTACAAGTTTGAGGCTAAAGTGTATGATAGCTTTAACTACACATTGCAGTTTGTTAGGGAAACCGACAATTGCGGTGTGTATCAAATTCAAAGAAAGAAGCTCGCAATAAGTAAAGTCCGTGAAATTATTTACGACAAGCAGTTGGATTTGGTTTCTTGTAGTTGTAAAAAGTTTGAAAGCGCCGGAATCCCATGTACTCACATTATCTCATATTTAATGAAATTTGATGCTGAAATATTGCCCGATAAATACATCTTAATGAGGTGGACTAAGTTTGCAAAATCAGGGACAGTGGATGATGATAAAGGCATGCAGATAACCCCTAACAATTCTTATCTTTTAACGCGGAGTCAATTTACCCAATCATCTTTGGATTTTGTTGACAAGTCCCTCATATGTGAAGAAACAAGGAAGATGTTTATCAACGGATTACGTAGAATTAATGAGCAAATTGACCAATTTCTTAGTAGCAGCATGGCTGTAATGAGATTCACCGAGAAAAGTAATCCAATATGTAGTAATATAATAGGTGATGGTACTAGTGTGCATGGTTCTTGTAGTTGTCAAAATAGTTTTAATGAACCCGATCAAGTGCGAGCAAAAGAGTGCGGCAAAAGGTTGAAAGGAGGAAAAGAGAAAACAATGGCTAGAGCCAAAAATAAAAAAGATAGACGTTGCGGCAAAAGGTTGAAAGGAGGAAAAGAGAAAACAATGGCTAGAGCCAAAAATAAAAAAGATAGACGTTACCACGGGTGTGGAAAAGTAGGCCAATCACATGATAAGTGAAATTGTCTAGCACTCACAAATCCGTAAGTAATAATTCTTTTATTATTTATGTTGTCTTATTTTTCACATTCTAGTATCCGTCTTGATGTGTGTGTGTGTGTGTCTATATAGAATTCCTAGGGGAAAAACAAAAAATGTCCAATGCATTTTCACCTTGCAAAAATTGAGCCTTTCTTAAATTAAATGTGTCACTATGAGCCTATTTGAAGTATCAAATGTCATGAAACTAACAAACAATCGAGATCATCATTTATTAAATAAAAATCATAAATTTGAAAAGCTACTCGATATCGGAAGAACTAAAAGAGAGCACTATAAATCCTAGAATAAAAACAGGAAATTAAACAAAGATGCCCAAATCATACCCACCTTGCCAGAATTGCTGAGCAAAACATACGTAATTTTCAAGCTTTTATATCCTTGTACCTATATAAATCTCATAGTTTCAATTTAGTAATGGATAACTCCCATGACAGATAAGTTAGATAAAGATAAGATAATTTTTACAAAAAAAAAGAGAGTGAATTATTATAAAGAAGATACTTTTAATCCTGGACATAAAAATTCATCATAAATAATGATAATTAAAATGTCCTTTCCTACAAAATAAGTCATGAGAATGACACGGATATAAATTATTCTCAAGCTTTATAAGTCATAAGAATGTCATGCATATAAATTGAGGAATGAGAAGTATACAATAAGAAGGAAAATTGCTTACTTTAGAAAATTACTATCATCAATATAAGTTCAGCTCTACTACGTCTCTACCAAACCGTAGAAGAAGTACTCTTAATCCATATCAACAATGATGCACACTCTTATGTGAAACCAGAAAGTACATGCTCAACATTTTCAGCGTATACTGATGTTCTCGTTGACAATGCATAAAAATTTAAGTCCAATATATAAACTAGTAATTTCAATTCAAAGTAGTCATTTTCTCAAAAATCAAGTTCTAAACTTTCACATACCAGTTTGACAGCCACTTCATCTATGCTCCGTATATTAACACCTTCACCTATATAGTTAGACATTAAATACAATAAATAGTCATAAACAAAAGCTTAAGGATAGGAAACTAAGTAAGAATGAAGCGTTCATGCTTATATGGAAGAGCAAAAAAAAGTGTTATAAGTTTCATGGCTATAAAGATTTTTTATGATGAAGAGGAGATGAACTGATGAAATGAACAGTAATTTAAATTCAATTAAGGGAAGGCATTGATGATGGTAAAATCTTTAGAGAGCATAATTGTGATTATTAAAATTTGAGAGGGTAAAAAAGTGAAAATTGCATTAGTAGAGAGGAGAGTAAATCATGTAACGCCTGCATTAAAAGTGGCTGGGGAAATTGATTGCAAAGTGATGGAGATTAATGAATAGAATTAAAGAACATAGAAGTTATGGGTGAGTGACTAAATAGAAAATTGATAAATAATTAATTAAGAATTTAAGAATGTGAGGAGGCTAAAGATGAGTGCTTTATTGAATAAAAATTATATTTTTATAATAAAAATTTTCACCTAGCTCATACTACACCCCTTACATAACCCCCTAATTATTGAGTATATAATATTACACTACATTATTGCACATAGTTCTTTGCTTTTGATATAATGAATAGGATAATATAATTAGTAAAATTAACTATATTTTAATATAATATACAACCTGCGCAATGGTGAACATACCATGCCACAGACATAAACCCAATTAATATACCACACCACACACATAACCCTCAAATTATTAAATATACAATATTACACTACATTGTACATATTTCTTTGATTATAATATAATGTGTAGTATAATATAATTATAATATAATGTACAATACAATATAGCTACAGAAATTTACTAATTAGTAAGGCTATCTGTATTTTAATATAAAAATAGATATATTGAATAATAATAATAACTAATTAAGTTGATTAAATAAGATTTGGGGTTATGAGAAGAATTTGAAGGGTTATAATTTATTTATGTAATGTATGCAAGTGATGATGTATGTATGTGATGTGATAATTTATGTATGTTTTCATTTTATATTTATATGTGCATGTATGTGGTTTGGAGGGCATTTTTGGAAGAAATGTTGTAACATACTAACACACTTTTATAATAGTACTAAATAAATGAGAAATATGGAGAACCTTGGTACCAAGTTTTTTTATTGATCTTGGAAGTGAGGTGGCCAAATCTGGCTCCTACATCACACCTGAGAGACTGAACCTATTTATTGGAGTAGGTGAATAGTGATTGAGGTTCTCTTTCCGAGGTGTGATGTAGGGGCCAGATTTGATCAAAGGCGCGGTCGACCGTGGCGGTCGACCGTGGCGGTCGACCATGGCGGTCGACCGGTGCGGTCGACCGGTGCGGTCGACCGATCAGCGAGCAGAGAGTTTTTCCAGGTTGTTTTTCTTTGCGGTTTTGTTTCGGGTCTAACGGGTTTCGGGTCGGGTTAGGGAGTATATATATATATAGTTGGCGGTCGACCGTGAGCCCTATTTTTGTGCATGCTTTGTTGTTCACGTGCGAGTTGTGTGGCTGGCATAATATCTGGGTTATATGGGTTTGATATACACTGAGATTTGTATACATGAGTTAATTACAGACATGAGTTTTAGATTTATTCCCCGATGCATGAGGGTGAACGGTATATATGTGATTTCTGATACTATTTGCTTGTTACGGTCCTCGTGTTGGACTATAAGCTATGAAGTCTTCGTGTTGGACTATAAACTATTAAAGTCCTCATGTTGGACTATAAGTTATTAAAGTCCTCGTGTTGGACTATAATCATCAAAGTCCTCGTGTTGGACTTTAAGCTATTGCAGATCATATTTTGGACATTTATTCATTTAAGACCATGAGTTGAGTATATATTTGACATATGATAGGTCATTGATATTTCGGTTGGAGATGGAGTTATTACTTCATGTTATAGCTTTTGGATTAGATATTTAGCTATTTACAATTTGAGCTAAGGGAGACGTACATATGCTTGTGTTGTAAATTTCGAAACAGTAAACCTCTATTTTATTTTCACAGTAGATGTTTGGCTATCTATATGAATTATCAGATATTTTCTTATCCTTCTAGCCCTTTTTCTCTTGGGGTTGGTTGAGATGTTACTCGCTATAGCGCTCTGACGCTTGTTGTTTCCTCACTTTCAGGTAACGAGCCAAGTGCACGGAGAGCCTTAGCTTGATGGAGGCACTCTAGTTATTATCTATAGTTTCTACTATCTGTTTATGTCAGAACTCCACATTAGATGTATTTATAAGACATTTGAGTATTTATTCTAGTTTTGTAAAGGCAATGTGTCTCAATATCTGTTCAGTTGATTTCTTATGTCGAGACATTTGTATTCAGATCAGATGTTTCCTTTTTAGAGACTTATCCATTTATATCAGTAGAAATGATTATTCTTCTGATTATCTGTTGTTTAGTACTCCTTTTGTATATTCTCTATTACTTGTTCTGTACTTACAGCTGTTGTTGATTCCACTAGATAGATAGTAATTGTGATGGTGAAACGTGTTATTACACGGTGTAGCGCGTGATAGGTTTGACATTCTTAGTTTTACCTTGGACTATAACCTTGTTGAAACTAGGGGCGTCACAATAAGAATGGCATGCATTAAATTGAGGAATGAGAAGTATACAATAAGAAGGAAAATTGCTTTACTTTAGAAAATTATCATCATCAATATAAGTTCAACTCTACTACGTCTCTACCAAACCATAGAAGAAGTAATCTTAATCTATATCAACAATGATGCACACTCTTATGTGAAACCAGAAAGTATATGTTCAACGTTTTTAGCGTATACTGATGTTCTCATTGACAATGCATATAAATTTAACTCCAATATATAAACTAGTAATTTCAATAGAAAGAAGTCATTTTCTCAAAAATCAAGTTCTAAATTTTCTCATACCAGCTTGATAGCCACTTCGACTATGCTCCGTATATTAACACCTGGACCTATAAAATTAGACATTAAATACACAAAATGTTCATAAACAAAAGCTTAAGGATAGCTAATATCGAGATTCAACTCACTGATATATTTCTTGCTAAAGGATCCACTCCCAATCTTCCCTTTTTTTCATGGTAGGAAACTGAGTAAGAATGAAGAGTTCATGCTTATATGGAAGAGCAAAAAAATTCTGTTATAAGTTTCATGGCTAAAAATTTTTGTGATGAAGAGGAGATGAACCGATGAAATGAACAGTAATTTGAATTCAATTCAGAGAAGGCATTGATGATGGCAAAATTTTTAGACAGCATAATTGTGATTATTAAATTTTGAGAGGGTAAAAAAGTGAAAATTACATTAGTAGAGAGGAGAGTAAATCATGTAACACCCACATTAAAAGAGGCTGGGGAAATTGATTACAAAGTGATGAAGATTAATGAATAGAATTAAAGAAAATTGAAGTTATGGGTAGTGACTAAATACAAAATTGATAGATAATTAAGAGTTTAGGAATGTGAGGAGGCTAAAGATAAGTGCTTAATTGAATAAAATTATATTTTTATGATGTTAATTATATTTTTATAATAAAAAAATTACCTAGCTCATATTACGCCCCACACATAACCCCCCAATTATTGAGTATATAATATTACACTACATTATTGCAGATAGTTCTTTGCTTTTGATATAATGAATAGGATAATATAGTTAGTAAAATTAACTGTATTTTAATATAATATAATTTCAACCTACTCAATGGTGAACATACCATGCCACAGACATAAACCCAATTAATAGGCCACACCACACACATAACCCTCAAATTATAGAATATACAATATTACACTACATTATACATATTTCTTTGATTATGATATAATGTGTAGTATAATATAATTATAATATAATGTAAAATACAATATAGCTACGGAAATTTACTAATTAGTAAGACTTTCTATATTTTAGTATAAAAATAGATATATTGAATAATAATAATAACTAATTAAGT